TCCAGAGCGTTCTAGAGCGCGTTCAGAGCCTTCCGGAACGCTCTGGGAAGGCCGCGGCGCCCGACGCATCCTCCAGAGCCGCCAGATCTCAGAGATTCTGGATTTATCCTCCTCCGATTTCATTATCGTCCTGGCCTCGTCTTATCTCGAGGAGTGGTGTACGCGGATGCGTGTCCGCCCTCCCCTGCGGGCGGGACTGTGTCGGTCATCCACCGTTCAACCGAGCCTTGGGGGCGGCTCCAGGAGTTTCTGGGATATGCCAATCTCCGCCTCCTCTGCCTTTCTCCTCCTCGCCGCCCGCCGCCTTTTGCTCCTCGCCCATCCCCCGATCCCGCCCCTCACACTCCTCGCCGCATTAGGAGGGGAGAAGGAGAGGGAGGAAGAGGCGAGGGAATGGGTATAGGGGGGTGTCCCAGAGAGGGGGAAAGAGAGAGAGAGAGAGAGAGTGGGAGAGAGAGAGGGAGTCTATGGGTGAAGACATATTCACGCATCGATTTCTTGATTTCTACACTCCGCCTCGGGGCCTATCTTGAGCCTTCTTTGCGGGGGGGCCTTCTCTGGGACGTCCTTGACGCAATTGACGAAAGAAGAGGGCGATTTCAATTGGCCCGCCCTCCTACGGACATAAAAAACCCTTTCTCGGCCTCTTGAGACTCGCCTAGGTCGGGGCTTGTCGGGCCCCTCTTTGACTCTCACGGGCCTTTCTTAAAGCTACGATTTGCCATCTTGATGCCAGCAGCCTTTGGATAACCATCGTGGGCGAAGGAGCGAAAGCAAATCACAATGAACACATGCTCGTGTTTGACGGATTATTGCTTGCGGTGAAGCTCCGTGGTTTCCTCGTTCCATCTTTAATCGATCTAGGGGCCTGTTGGAATCATGCTGAAGGCAATGTTGTTCTATATTGGTCCACTGCGCGCCATCTTTGAGGCCATGTAAAGTGATTTGGAGCCATCGTTGAACCATCTCGGACAATTTTGGATGCTCTGACCGCTTGCATCAAACCTTGGCGAGGCCTACGGGTTGCGGGAGGTATCGACCCTTTCTTAATTTGACAAAACGAGGGCAACGAATGCAAACCAGGCGAGGGAAAGGGAGCGAGAAGTCTTCATCTCACCCCCTCCAAGTATAATATTCTCATCGGACCTCCGCTGCGCTGTTTTATATATCTCGCCAGTATGATTTCGCATCGTTTCAGGGTGGGCGAGGCACAACAGAGATGCGTGACTCCCAGCACGGCTTCGGGCCAGCCAGAGGCACTCGTGAAGCACTGTTTTTGGTACGCGTGGTTGCTGCTCTTGAAGACAATTTATATGGGAAGCTGCTCATCTTATACCGCATCAAAACAGATGGCATATTGTTTGCACTCCCACATTTCGGCGTGCCTCCGGCGACGCTCGACAGGATTGTGGGTATCGACAGGATTCGGCGGTTTGTGGTCTAAGAGGGCTCTATGGTGTCTTCGCAACGGGAATGGGCCGCGGCAACTTCACAGGCAAGCCGTACATCGTCACCAACGGCGTCCTGTACGCCGACGACACGATGCTCGTGGCCAAAGATCAGCCCTCCCTCCAGAATTATTACACGATCGTTGCACAACTTTGTAAATCGTTCGGTTTCGAGCTGAATGCTGAGAAATCAAATTTATTGAGTTTGCAATGCAATGGCGCTGTGCTTGGGCTAAACGTTGAGACAATCAAATGCGAATGGCATGTTGTGTATTGGGGGTTATTTAGTGCAAATTGGAGGGCCAGAACTGAGCTTCCACGACGCCTGGGGGAAACGAGTGGACCACCCCACAAACTATGCACTGTGTGAGGCTCATGCGAATATGAGCCGGCAACACACATTGCGGGTATTGCAAGTTTATTTGTCTTCTGATTATGAGATGCTATCGCATCTTGAATGCCACTGAAAGCGGACAAGGACCGGTTTGACAGCTTCCAAGCAAAATTGTTGCGGACGATGTGTTCGAAATTGCTACAGTGTTTCTGCTTCGCGTCAGCAGCGCTCACGTGCGGGTTGCAGCGGCAGCCTGCCTTGAGCAGTTTTTTTATTACAGAGACAAAATGATATTTCACGACATGCTGGCAAAAGGGGGCTGCCCGGCATCCTGCCCAGAGCAATGGTGTCCCAAGTTGGACGAGACCACCGTGCTTTGCCCAGGGAGGTCACGCCGCGCTTCAAAGGGCGCCCGCGTTTACAATGGAATGCGTACATGCACGCTCAAACCATGGGTGTGGCAGGACACGACCGCGACAAATCGCAAACCCCATTAAGTGGAACGCCAGGGCATTGGAACGCAGCTGTTGTACTTTTGTTTGTTAATAATAACTTTGAATGTGCTCCTCCCCTTCTCCCCCTTCCTCCTCCTGCGCAGTGTAGCATGCCCTCGCGATTCGCTGGGGCAGAGCATGTCAGCGTGCGCTCACTAGGCACTGACGGGGCGCGTTTGCGCAAATTTCATGTTTCGTCCCGCGCGCGCGGGCATAGCGCCGGGGGCGCGATTCACGCGCAGGAGTTTCTAGCCCCAGCAGGGTTGAGGAAATCGGCAGGCCGGATGCGCGCGCGTTTCGCGCGTATCCCGATTTCCCCCCAGGAGAACTCCGTTGCCGTTTCGGTTCAGGTGCAATCCGTGGGCCCTGGTGGCTCGTGCTTGCGCGCGGCTGAGGGGTTGGCTCGAGTGCCCCCGTCTTCCTGGCAACATGTGCCAAGTTCACGCCTGCCTGCTTGAGGTGCCAAGCCTTGCAGGTTTTTTTTGTGAGCGCCCAGTGGGGCAGTCAAACGGTGCCGCGCCGCCGTGCGATCGCATTCATGGGTGGTGGAGGAGATGTGGTCCGCTGGGCGAAGCAGCTCTTCTGGGCGCGCCAGCAGCGCGGCCTCGCGTCCAGCGGGGCCCGCAAGGTTGCACTGCAGGCGCGGTGCAGCCGCGCCCGCCGCTGCGCGGCTGAGGGCCAAGTCTTTTGGCTCAAATGATGATGTTCGGGGCGCGCGCCACTTGTGATGCTGAGTGCGAGGAATCTCGACGGCAGTTAGTGCATCCTGCTCCTTTGGGTGAGTCTCGCGTCGTCGACAGTTTTGGCGTTCCGCGAGAGTTGTTGGGCGGCAAGGAGGCGATCGAGACTGCGTTCGAGTCGGCGGCCTGAGTTCGCCGAGAACTTCAGGTCGCGCTTCGAACCCGCGCCGACACCTTCGACCGCTGCCGCTAGCTCTGATGGGCCAGCGCTCGCAGAAACCGCCGCAGTACGAGGCGCAATTGCGCCCGTGGACGCGGCGTTCGATGGCGGCTTCGAGAGCGTGGATGCAGCCAGCCATTCGTGGGAGAAGCGCGAGGGCGACAAGCGGGCCATGTTGGGTGCTCTTGCAGCCGGCGTCAAGAGTCCCAGCGAATCGCAGCTAGAGCGCGTCGTCGTCGGAGCGAGGGGTGGGGCGCGGGTTTCACGGGGCCGAGTGGGGGTTTTGATGGGGGGGTCGCGAGCGGGGCCAGTGGCGAGCTGGGTCTTCGGCTGGTTCGGCTCGCGAGATGCGTCGTCTCACCCGCGGGGGGAACGATGGAAAAGCGGGGGTCCGCGGTTGCCGGAGAGACCTGTGGGAGTTGCATGTCGGGCCCTGGGATTCCCTGCGCCCAGTGGCAATTCCACCCCGCCACCTTTCCAAGTTCCAGGCGAGAGCTGCTTTGAACGAGTCGCCGCGGACAAGGTCCGCGCGGCGTCGTTTTTTTTTTTTTTGGGGGGGGCGCGCATTGCGCGATTCCTCGTCGGCGCGCACGTGCGGCAGTTCGCGTGTTCGACGGGCCCTGGGTTGGGCGCTCTGGCATGCATTTTTATCAGAGGTCTGAAAGTTTGGGCCGCTTCCCAAACTCTTGCATTGGGTGCTGTTCCCGTTGTTTGAGATGGGCCGTGGGGGTGTCTGGGGGGCCCATGCTGACCCGGCTCGACGACGCCCGCCCCGGGGAGCATTGGGCCTTCGGAGCGGAGAAGTCGGCGGGGGCTTGCGTTTGGGGCCGGGCGGCCACGGCGGAAGCCGAGGTGGCTGGAGTTCGCGCGGCTGCGGGCTGCTCGGGGCGGGGTGAAGTAATGCGACAGCTTCTGTCTCGAGGCCTTCGGACTCTGCGTCTGGGCCTGGACAGTGGCCCGGCAACTTGGTTGCGCTGCGCGCCCGCAGCGGACATCCCGCAGGGCCAACTGATTAATGTGATTTTCGTGCGCGCGTATGCTGTGGAGCCTTTTCGGTTGTCCTGTGCGTCGCAATCCTTGCGTCGATCATGCGTCGCGCATTGATGGCGAAAGCGGCCAGCGGCTACGGGCAGGCGCGCGCGGCCGACGAGGCCCCGCGCCTCGCGGCGGCGGACTTCCGCGAGGCCTTCGCGGGGAGCCGGAGATACTTTAGCATCTGGTAATCTAGCGACCATTGCTTCGGACCCCATGGTCGCCCGTCGCCCCTGCGGGCACCTCGGCATCCTGGCGGGGCAGGTTGGGGCCCGCGGCGCGCCCTTCGGTTGCGATCTGGCCCCCGGAGGCCGCAGGCGCAAGAAAGGGCGCTTGGATCGGGGGTGGGTGGGTGGGTAGCTTTCGGGACATGGCCCGAAGACGCCGCCATCTGTCCCGATGCAAGAGAGGGTATCCTCAGGGGCCGCTGAAGGATCGGGGGCGTTGTTCGCGGCGGGGGAACGCGGGCGCTGATTTTCGGGGGCGCCGTCTTTGGCCTTGCAGACGTTGAACTCGCGCGCGCGCGGGGCGCCCTTCTCCTTCCAGGCCCCGAGGCGCGCGGGGTCTCCATGCGTGCCGAGACTGGACTGTCCTTGTAGGAGATCCTTTGTGGAGGAGCGCGGTGGCCCCTGCTGCGGCCGTGGCGCTGGCGGCGCGGGGCGCCGTCGCCGGGCCCGCGCGGCATGTGGGCGGGGTTCGAAACGTAAAGGACACAACCAGGCTAAAAGTAGGGATAGGTGGAGCGCGCTCGCGACTTCTCGATTGCCAGCAGTAATGGGGCCCAGCGGCGCGATGGGCGGATTGTTGCCGGCAAAGTGGGCCGCGAACCTGGAGCCGGAGTTTGCGCGGAGTATATTCGTGGGGTCACCGGTCCGCGGCCCGCGTGGCATCGGCTTGAATGCCCGGGAGAAGCGCGTCGTGTTTTTCCTTTCCCCTTTCTGTTTTGGTCTCTTGGCCCAGGACAGAGCCAGGCGGGCAGGGCGCCTCGGCAGAGGTCTTTCCAAGTGGCACTAGGGGCCCGACTCGGCGGGGGAATCGGTTCAACGAGCGCCAGCGCGACGACGCCGTGAAGGCCAGAGGGGGCGTGGATATGCCTGCCACTCGCGTCTATCTGCCCTGGCTTGCAGCCAACTTTTCTTCGAGGGCCTCAAGATGGAGCGCCCCGTCAGTTTTGGCCGCCCGCAAGTGATGGCCATTTCCCAGATTTGCACGACGATGGTGGTTATTTGGTTTCTTGGGGCGAGTCTGATTGCAGTGGGTCGTGTTCCAGGCTGGGGGTGGGCTCTGCAATCCTCGCGCAGTTGCGTAGTTGTCTAGGGCTGCGCATGCCCGGGTCTTTTTCGACGGCAATGGGGCCCGGCGGTTGGTGGCGCGAGGAGCCGCGTGGCCTTCCCTGCTTCGGATTTGCTGGGCTTTCGCCCCTGATTTCCGCGAGGGGCGCCGTGGTGATTGCGCGGGCGCTGTCGAGCTGCGCAGCGAGACCCCCGCGGGGCGAGTCAGTCCAACGCAGAGGCATGGAGGTTTCAGGCATGGTGCGTCGGCTCGCGCGACTGCAACGGAGTCCGCCCCGGCTGTTCGCGCGCCTGCTCGCGGGGGGCCGGGGGGCGTGGGCGCGCCGCCGCAGCCCGAGCTCAGGGCGCAGAGGGCGGGCGCCGATGCCGCGGGGGCCGCCGAGGTCCACCCGCGCCCGTCCGAAGCTGGATGGCGTCGGCAAAGAACCAATGGAGCAAATCGAAACTGTGGCTAAGTTGGCGGCGGCCGTGCAGCCGCGCATCCCGCGCGCGACCCGCCGGAGGCCGCCGCGCAGTGCGCGCCCGCGTGAAGGTTTCTGCGCGGGCACTGCGCGGCGCTCGCGGGCCCAATGGTTCTGTGGCCGCGGATGCTCGCGATGGGGGGCGGGCGGGGGGTTCCAGGGGCGACCCGAGTTGGGCTGTCAGGGTTTCCCCAGGCGCGTGGCTGAGCTCCTCGCCAGCGCCCCCGAGCCTGGGCGCGGGCTGGCGAGCGCTGTCACTTTTCTTGTGCATGGCGCGCGTATCGTGCACTCAGGACAAGATTCGTGAACTCGCCATGGAGTGCCGGCCGCAACGCAGAGGGGGCGGAGCCCAATTGCAGACGCTGTCTCCGCCGAGGCTGGCCCCCCCAGCGCGATGTGCGGGTCTCCTGTGCTGTGCCTGAAGATCAGGTTGGGCGCGAGGAGTCGACCTGCGGGTGGCGCGGCAGGGCGCATTGAAGGCTTCCGCCGCTCCGCGACCTTGCTTGGAGGCCATTCGAGCGCGAACTGCTGCTCGTGAGGTTTCCCTGGCCGAAGCTCTCTCGGCGAACTGGTCGGCCGATCGCGGGGAAAAAAGTGCCACCAGAAAAATGATAAACCTAAAGGCTTAACGCAGCATCTTCGAAGCATCACCGGCCAGTGACATCCGCGAAACTTCTCTTAGCATGCTCCACGCATCATGCGTGGGGCATGCTAAGAGGGGTTTCGCGGTCTTCTCCATCACCCACCCTCTCATCTCCCAGGTGAACTTACAACGCAGCCAGGGCCCGCTGGGGGCTCGCCGAATTCAATCGTTTCTCTCATTCCGCCAGCCCATATTGAATCACTTTGCTATTATGTTGGCGTGCGCGTGGCCAGCGAGAAGGGGGGGAGGAGGAGGAGGAGGAGGAAGAGGAGGAGGAGGAGGAGGTGGCCTCGCGATGGTTTGGTGGGGCACTCTGATTGGACCGATATGGATGTTGGACAGGAGCCGGGGAATACATCCAGGCACCGACATGGTTCTTCCAACGTTGATCAGGCCCCGAAGTTTGGCGTTTTCCGCGGATTCTCTTGGATCCGCGCTGGGTCCCCCATACCGGTGTTTTGTTCCTCGACGTCCGTCCCCTTGAGCAGGACGAATCCATGCACCCATGCGGTTCGGGGGCCTTGTGTGGACAAGGCGACGGGGCTAGCCAGGGGTGGCGGGGCTTCCTGGCCGCCCGCGTACCGTTTGCGCGCTATTGGCGTAGGCGGGCCCCAATCGCAGTGGTAGGGGGGCCGCTGGTTTACTTGATCATGGCCTCCCTGCGCATGTCGTTTCTGGGTCTGACGGGATTGTCCTTCGCGGTTGAACTCCGTGTGATCAAGTCGGTTGATGGAAATCATCCGCCTAAAGACGCCTCTTTGGCGTCGTGGGTTTTTTTGGTGCCATTTTGGGACCACTTGGGGCTTCTTTGGGGACTCCTGGGGGGATACTTTGGGCCCCTGGGGGCCTCTTGACGGCCTGGTGGCAGTCTCGGGTGCCATCTTTTGGGGAAGGCTCGACATGCTAGCTCGGTGGGCTCTTTTGGGGACCTCTGTGGCCCTCATGGGCGGCCTCTCGGGCCGGCCAAGGGCTGTCCTGAGGCCCTCTCGGGCTGTCTTGCGTTGGTCTTGGGGGCCTTCGGGGTGGTTTCTGGCAGTCAGGAACCCGAAAAGGCGGTGACGCCAACAACAATCGAAAACCATAGGAACATCATACGTGTTTGACTTTCTGTTTTTTTGTTGGTTCTTGTGAACCACTGTGAGTGTATTTGGTTTCGTGCTTGCTTTACGTGTGCGTTGTCCAATATCAGCTGCTAAGCCATTTGCTTAGAACAGTGTTTCTAAGTAGGATTTCTGCGTTGTGGGTGGGGTTATGATTAGTCGTGTAGTGTTGTGAGCGGTCCCGACGGACAGCGAATGATGAATTGTTTGCGCATCGCGTTCAGAGAGGATGCCGCTTCCGAGAATTTGGTTTGCGTGTGCGGCGAATCGTTGGTACGCTTGGTGAGCGTCACTGGGCCTTGTGTACATGTTTCGGTGTCCTGCTTCTGGCGAAACTGAGAATGGCCTTCGGTAGAACCCCAGCAATCCTCGAAGAGGACCCCGCATCACATTGCACCGTCTCTCCAGGCGGGGCCCAGGTGATCTTGGCGGCGCCTGAGGAGAGCTCCCTCAAGTCTTCCAAGAGATCCCCAATGAGGACATTTGGTCCAACTGTACCGTGCAGTTGTCCATGCGGGCTGCCGGGGATGCCCCACAAGGATTTCAAGCTGCACACGTCGGAGCTACCGGGCTCTCAGGCGATGCAAGCGAGCATGGTCTGAGAGGGCCCAAAGCACGTTGCTCGTTTCAGCTCGCTTCAGATGCTCCCAGTGACCGCCACGGACTCTCCAGGAGGGCTCCGCAAGTCTCCGACCGCACCCGAAGGGGTGCGCAAGAGACTCTGAAAGGTCTTTCGGTCAACTTGCTCCATGCACGTTGTTGCAGGGGTTCCTGGGGAGAATACCGAACGCTTTCAAAAGGCGCTGGAGGCCTCCCAGGAGATGATCGCTTCAAGCAGGCTTCAAATGGGCTTCGAGCGACGCTGCACCGTACAACTTGCTTTGGGGACTCGGCGGGCTTCTGGGGGCCCTTTTCGGGCCCCCATCGCCTGCCCTTTTGGCGGCCCCTGGGGCCCTCTTGAAGCTCTCTTGGCCCCCCTTCGAGTCCTTTGGGGGGCGTCTTGGAGCCATCATGGAAGCCATTGGCGAAAGAAGAGGGTTGCTTCAACGACGATTCACCATCGGAGCCCGAAACATCGCTTCGTGGGGCCCTCTCGAGACTTACTGGAATCCTCCTGGTGCCATTGATGGCCTCCTTGAGGGTTCGTTGGTTTTCTCAATGCCATCATGGACGATCCGGGGGCCGCATGGGGGCCTTGGAGACCGCTGGGAGCGAGAAGGCGAGACATCGAACAACATTGAGGTACTTTGGGCGTTTGAAAGGGAAAGGGCAGCGTTGGGAGGATTCACGGGAACCTCGGGTGCTCTGGCGGCCGTATCTGCGCCTCTTGGCAACATTCTGGATGCCATCTTGGCCCAGCGTGGGCCATGCTGCGAAATCCTGGAGGCCATAGTGTGCGGCATGGTGCCGCCTTGGAGCCATCTAGGGCCATCTTGAATGCCCTGGCCGCTCTCGGCCCGCCCTCCGTCCAGACCCAGGGGGAGGGAAGGGGATGGGTTGTGGAAGTCGATTAATGGAGAGGAAACATGCTGCCAAATGATTTCCAGATGTCTAAACAATGTTTCAAACAAGTTGTAAATATGGAAAAGCATGTTCGACATGTTTTTAGAGCATGTTTTACACATTTTAAACACTTCTTTGATTCAATGATCAGATTGTTAGAATGTCTATTGTCATGGCATCCACAAGGGATGGGTAGACCCTGCCCGAGGGGGAAACGGGGTTGCAGGAGAACATCCATGAGGCCACCTGCGTCCAGAGGACTGGTGGGACTGAAGCGTGATGGCTTTCGAACGACACTCCGCTTCAAGCTCAGATTACTGGAAGGCTCCTGCATGACGTACGATTGCATCTCGCGAGTGGGTGCCACCAGCCCTACAAACAGATTTTTCGGGGCAAGCAAACCTGCATATTTGTATTGGCGCCGCCCCTGGTGTAATGTAGTTTGCCACACACCGCTTTTGCCTAGAAACGTTTTCAATGGGAGGCCGAGGAACATCATTGATGGATCAAATGAATATTTAAGAGTCATTCGTTCTGAACTCTTCTCTTCTTCCTCCCCTTCTCATCCTAGGACGAGGAAGAGCAGGTGGAGGAAGAGGCGGAGGAGGAGGAGGAGGACGACGAGGGAGGAGTAGAAAACAGATGTGACACACAGCGTTCCAGGGCCCAATCCCCACACCCCTTCGACGATACGATCCCCATGATTTCGTGAACGCCTCCCTGACGTGCCTCCAGCGGAAGGAAGAAGAGGCGGATCGGTCCGAACAGAGTAATGTGTAAGAGAGAAGCCAGAGACGGTGTTGAAGAGAACTCCATCATCAGGGCAGAACGTTAACGTGTTGAATTGGAGCCTGGATGCAGGGTGCAGGCAAGAGCCCGCTGCCCTCGACAAAGGGGATCACGTTTCATATCACGCCGCTTATCGTCGCCTTCGCTTTCCCCGTCGTTGTCGTCGTCGTTGTTGTCGTCGTCGTTGTCTTCGTCGTCGTCTTCCTGGTCGTCGTCGTCGTCCTCGTCGTCGCCGTTGTCGTTGTCGTCGTCTTCTTCGGCGTCGTCGCTGCCGCCGCCGCCGCCTGTGCCGCCGCCGTCGCCGCCGCCGCCGTCGCCGTCGCCGACGTGCTCGCAGGCGTCGTCGTCGTCGTCGTCGTCGTCGTGGTGGTGGTGGTGGTCGTCGCCCTTGCCGCTGTCGTGGCCGCCGCTGCTGCTGCGGCGCGCAGGCCGCTCGGCTCCAGCGGCCGCCGCCCGCGCGCCGCCGCCGCCTCGCGGCGGGGAGGCCGCGCCCGCGAGCGGGCGCGTGGCGCTACCCGTCGAGGACGGCCGCCGCCGCGGCCGCCGTCGCCGTCGCCCTGGCCGTTTCCGTCGCCGTCACAGCATCGCTTTCGCCGTCGTCGTCGTCGCCGTCGTCGTCCTCGTTATCGTCGTCGTCGTCCTCGTTATCGTCGTCGTCGTCGTCGTCGGCGTCGTCGTCGTCGTGGTCGTGGTCGTGGTCGTGGTCGTGGTCGTGGTCGTGGTCGTGGTCGTGGTCGTCGTCGTCGTCGTCGTGGTCGTGGTCGTGGCGTCGGCGTCGTTGTCGCATTCGTCGCCGTCGCAGCTGCCCGATCACCCCAGGACCGACCACCTGTGCGTCTGGGTCGTCTGGGTGGCCCTCTGCCGGCCCCGATCCCTGGGTCTCGGTGGCCCGTGGCCCGCCCCGAGGTGTGCCGTGGCCCGCTCCGCTCCGTGCGCCTCGGTGGCTCTTGCGACCTGTGCCCGGGCCTGTGTTGGGCGACGTTGGGCCCGTGTAGCTCTCGACCTCATCCTCGGGGCCGGTTTTCCTTCTCGGGTCGTTGTGTGGTCTCGCCGTGGTCAAACGGAGTCTCTCGGGAAAGGGGGTCCTAACATTTTCCGCCGCTTTCGGCCCTTCCCCTTCCTGGCCCTGGGACCTCCCAAACACGACTCAGGATAAACAACAACGATCTGGGGGGCCCCAGATTCAGGATGCGTTTCCATCAGGACCCAGTTGTCTTCATAGCAAGTTTTCGGCCCTGGAGCCTCGACACCAGCGCCCCCAGAGATCTAGATCGAGGAAGAAAAGCTGGCCGTCGCGACTGTCTCGCGATGCGCAGAGGTTCCAGGGTCCTGGGCCTGAAAGTCGAGACCTATCCCGCAAAGTGTTCTGGCCAGAGTCCAGCAGGCCTGACCGTGAGGAACACGTGGAAGTCAACCCAGATTGGCAGTCGGTTCCCACCCCGGCCCGCGAGCCTCAGTGACCTTCTAGGTGCATATCGTTGACCGTCGCCCCCCTCCGCAGCTTTTCTTGATTCGACGCTGATTTAGCAATGAGCCTGTCAGCAGAGGCCGGCGCGCAACTTGAAGAATATCAGTGATTAACGACTCTGCTGCGGCGCTGGGGTCAGTCGCGTAAAGCAGGCCGACAGTACTAGCTGGCAGTAGAATGGAGTGCGCTGCCTTTGGCGCGGCCGACCTTTGCGGTTTTTCATAATACCTGAGTGGGAGAGCTACCTTCGTTCCAGCACGGCGAGAACGAGGCAACGGCGGAAACAGGGCCTCTATCAGCGCGCTTTGTGCGAAGGCAGGGAGGCTCACCGCGTCTCTCGTTGCTTGGCCAGGTCTGCAAGCAAACAAAAGGCTGAGGTAATTGTACAACCTGCCATGTCGCGATGCCGTGCAGGATGCCAGAATGGTGCGCCTGCCACAGTTAATTGAATATCTGAGTGTGCAAGTTATCTTCCCCCCTGGCACGGAAAGCGGTAGTGCAGCAAACTCATGATAACGATGATGATGCTGCTGATGATGATGGTGATGATTCTGATGATGATGGTGATGATGCTTTCGTTGTCGATGATGATGTTGTTGATGATGATGACGTAGATGGTAATGATGTTTGTGGTGGTGATGATAACGATTATGATGCTGATGGTGGTGATGGTGGTGATGGTGATGATGGTGCTGAAGGTGATGCTTGTTATTGTGGTGATGGTGATGGTGATGTCGATGATGGTGACGATTTTGGTGGTGATGTTGATGTAAGCGATAATGATGACGACGAGGATGATGATGCTGCTGATGCTGATGATGACGGTGATGCTGGTGATGATGTTGGTGATGATGATGGTGATGATGATGGTGGTCATGCTGCTGACGATGATGATGACGATGTTTCTGATGATGCTAATGATGATGCTGATGCTGATGCTGATTCTGATGATGATGATGGTGATGGTGATGGTGATGGTGATGATGATGATGATGATGATGCTGGTGATGATGATGATGATGATGATGATGATGATGATGATGATGATGATGATGATGATGATGATGATGATGATGATGATGATGATGATGATGATGATGATGATGATGCTGATGATGATGATGATGATGATGATGATGATGATGATGATCATGCGCGGGCTGACGATGATGCCGATGCTAATGCTGATGCTGATGCTGCTACTTCTTGCTTCATCATGGCCACGGTACGGTACGGTATCAGGAGCACGCAGTACCGGTACAATTAGCTGTGCCTGGTTACTGTCGCCAGTACCGATCTTGCTGGTACGGTAGCGGGCCTCCGCGATACGGGGTGCCAGTACGGTGCTGGGACCGCGCGGTACCGGTACGGTACCGCAGGACCACGGCCAGCACTGGTATGGTACTTGAAAGGACGAATGGGAACGGAGGCAAGAATGAGGAGGAGGAGGAGGAGGAGTAGGAGGAGGAGGAGGAGTAGGCCAGGGACCCCCGTGGCCCCCCAGGAGCCCCCCAGTACCCCCCAGTACCGCATGCTCGCGCAACACTTGGTCCTGGGCCTTTCAGTGGATTTATTGGAGAGCGTCGTTCTCCAGCCACTTAGTCTGTGATCAGGGCAGCACGTCGCTTCCCCTTGCCAGGGCGGAGCCTCGCGGCGGAGCCTTGGCGAGAGCAGCGCTGCTTTGGAGGCCATCAGCACAGTAGGTGCATGGCCGCAGTTCCGCAACACGTCCACGACTCCGACCGAGCTCCCTTGATGGCGGGCATCGATCGGCTGGATGGTGGGATGTGACTCGCGGAGCCGCGGTGAGATGAGTGTGAGGAGTTGGAATCAGCGGTAGCATGCTCCTGATGACCCGGCTGGGGTTTTGGGAGCCCGCTCACCATCATTGCTCCTTAAGTGATTTGGGCTTATTTCGTCATGCAAGAAGACGAATGACGCGCAGCACCAACAGTACGAAGCAGTTTAGATATGCTCGCTCTCATACCTTGCGTGCCATTCACATCTCGCCCAATCCCTCAAGACCCGCCTTCTTGGTCTTTGGTTCTATCTCTTCGGGGGTATGTGCTCCTTCCCGGCCACGTGTAATTGGTGCAGGACGAACATGAATAATATAAGGGAAGAGAGCGAGGAGGAAGGGCGATGAACAGCAGCAACAGTCAATTGATGAGTTTTCGCTCTTATCAGCTCGCGCGTCACCCTCGATAAGCATCTGTATCCCAAATCATCGATACCCGCCCTCCCCGTCTTCTCCCATACCTGCGACGTGTAGCTGGCGCAGCCCCGAAAACAGGACGAGGAGGGAGGGAGACAGGACAAAACAGACAGCGAGGAGGTAAGGAGTGCGGGAGGGATGGAGGATGGAAGTGGCAAGGGGGAGGGAGAAGGATGGAGCGCACGAGAGAGAGAGAGAGAGATCAGCATGACGGGGGTCAGGAGCAGGAAAGCAAACGGCAGAACGGGATAGGCGGATCGGGCGGGCGGACCCTGCTGGGCGGGTCTGGCGGACCCAAACGGCCAGTTCGAGTGGGTGGGTCGTTGAAGCATTAGCGCTGCATGAATCGAAAGAAGGCCCCAGTGTCAAGGCCACCCGAGCACCCCCCCAGTACCCTCCAGTACCCCCCAGTACCACCCAGTACCCCCCAGTACCCCCCAGTACCCCCCAGTATGCCCTAGTGCGCCCCAGTGCCCCTCAGGGCCCTCAGAACCTTCCAGGGCCCCCCAGTGCCTGCCCCTCAGTTCCCCCTGTACCCCCCCGTACTCCCCAGTACCCCCCAGGGCCACCCAGTACCCCCAGCACCCCCCAGTACCCCCAGCACCCCCCAGTTTCCCTCAGCACCCCCCAGTGCCCCCCAGTATCACCCAACACCCTCCAGTACCCTCCAGCACTCCCCAGTGCCCCCCAGGATTCCCCCGCACCTCCCAGTCGCCCGCTCCCTCCCAGTACCTCTCAGGAGGCCCCCAGGGTCCCCTGGTACCCCCCCAGGGCCGCCCAGTACCCCCCAAGGGCCCCCAGTACCCCCCAGTACCCCCAGTACCCCCTCGCCCTCTCAGTACCGCCCAGGGCCCCCCAGTATCCCTTAGTACCCCCCAGTACCCCCCAGTACCTCCCAGTACCCCCCAGTACCCCCCAGAACCTCCCAGCGGGAACCCCAGTGCCCCCCCAGAAGACGGGACTTGCTTCAACAGGGCCCCCGCCCGATCTGTGCGCCTCGACCCCCGCTCCTCACAGCGGAAGCCCCGATCCCAGAGCCCCGATGCTCACCCCGAAAACTTCGACCCTCGATCGAGGAATCGATCGGCACCGAGGATCGACCTGGATTGGGCCGGGAGGTCGGGAGCCGAAGGGGGCCCGGGGAGCCGAGGGTGGATCCAGGATCCAGGAGCCGAGGAGGAGGGGAGGGAGGAGGAGAGGGAGGAGGATCGAGGATCGAGGAGGATCCAGGATCGAGGAGGATCCTCGAAGATCGAGGAGGATCGAGGATCGAGGATGGAGGAGGATCGAGGATCGAGGATCGAGGAGGAGGGGAGGGGGGAGGAGAGGGAGGAGGATCGAGGAGGATCGAGGAGGATCCTCGAAGAGGGGCCCCTGCCCCGGTCCGTGCGCCCTGGCGGCCCCCCGCCGGCTCTCTCCCCGGGGGTGGGCTCTTCTCGGCCGCCCGCCCGCGCGCGAGGGGGGCCGCGCGCCGCCGCCGCCCGCTGGGGCGGAGGCACGCCGCTGCGGGAAGGCGGAGGCAGGACGTCACCACCCACCAAACCACCCCAACCCAGCCCGAAGGCCCCAATTTATCCTCGATTTCCAGTGGGGGGGGTCGTGGAACATCGAGAAAACACATATGGAACCCGTACCCCCCCTAACCCGAAGTTCGAGTCTTCGGGTTTGGTTGGGGTGGTCTGGTAGGTAGTCAGGACGGAGACACATTCGGACGATGAGACATCGGGAGTCTCCGAGTGCAGGCGGGCCTGGAGGATGTGGAGGCGCGTTGCTCTCTCACAGATGCTGGAAGCCTGGCCCGGGGGCCCAGGGGCGGCAGCCCACAGGGTCCTCTGAGGGCCCACTTCCCTCCCAGAGCCTCCGGCTCCCCTGGGAAGAGGTCCCCAGAGCTAAGCAGAGGGTCCGAGAGGGCCCCTAAGACGGTCCCGATTCGCCCCCAGGCTCCTCCGGGATGTTCCCAGCGTTACAAAGGGCCCGAAGATGGCCCCAAGAAGCCGCCCGAGTGCCCACAGAGGACCTCCGAAGGGTCTCGAAGAAATTGGTTTGGTTTTGCGTAATTTTTCTGGAGGTCCCATTTGTTGACGATGCGTAAGGCCAAGATGGCTTCGGTGCCCCGAAAGGACCACAGTAGACCTCCAACACAGTCGGGTCGTTGAAGCAGGGACCCTTCTCGTTGGGGAGGGGCTCCGTGCTCCTTCCTTGTTTCACGCCTTGCCCCAGGTTTTCCTGATGTCTTCCGCGGGGAACCGAAGAGTAATCTGTGGAGAAGTGGGGCCTCGTTCAGGAGGGGAAAAAACACACAGACACAATTATTCGTCGATCCCAGAAGAAAAGTATGCGAAAATATGGGAAGTGGGGGGGAAGACAGAAACCCAGAAAATATAGGAAAACGTGGGGAATCTGTTTATCTGTGTGCACTTATTTGTGTGTTTGTGGGCACCTCCACTCGTGCCTTACTCAGGGCTCCGTGGGCCAACGCCCCGGCTGTAGGGCCCCAGGGGGGGCCCAGGACCGCCCCGCGAGAGCTCCGCGAGGGCCGGCGACGGCCTCCGTCAGGAGGGGAAAAAACACACACAGACAGTGAATCGTCGATCCCCAGGAAAATATGGAAAAATATGGGAAGTGGGGGGAAGACAAAAACTTTGAAAATATGGGAAAATATCGGGAATCTTTTGATTAGTGTGTATTTATTTGTGTGTCTCAGGGCCCCTTCACCGGAGGAGCCCCAGACGGCCCAATGGGGGCCCCAAGACGGTCCCCAGAGACCCCCGGGCTTCCCCGGTGTGCACATGGGGGCCCACGATCAAGCAGAGGCGAAAGCGTCCTGGCTCGCCCATAGCCCTACCAAGCAATGTTCTAAGAACCTTTTGAGGTTTCCACGAGATGTTCTTGGAGCATTTCAGGTTGGGACTGCCTTGGTCTAACACATCGGTTTAATGTTCTAAGAACCTTGTTTTTTGTTCTTAGAACTTTGTTGGGTTCTAAGAACATTTCGTGGTAGGGCTATAGGAATGCCGGGACGGTCGGTCCCTGCTCAACACGAGGCCGCCAGAGTGCCCACATAATCGTCCCCTGAGCCGAATCAGCAAGGAAGGCGCCCGCATGTGCCAGCACGGTTACAGTCGAGGCGTTGCCCTAAAGAACCCCAAATACGAGGCCCCTTTGTCCCATGGGTGCATCCTCGATTTCCCATGGACCCCCCAAGAAAACCCGAGGCAAACTTTGAAACAGTCAAGGAGCACCGAGCCCCTCCCCAACGAAAAGGGTTCCTTCTACAGCGCCCCGACTGTAGGTATCCTCTCACTGTGTGCGATGCATGTGACCATCTGGGGCCTAGGCACTCGGCGACGGTTGGGTGCAAATGCTGGCGCCTAGCCCCCGGGATCCAGACCTTCGGGAGCTCCTGAACTGGGCCCAGCTGAGGTCCGATCTCCTCGTGGGGGGCCGCAGAACGTGCCCCGCTCGAGTTGGCGGCGCAGGAGCACCGGGCCCGCGCCGACCTGAGCGAGCCCTCCGACCTTGGGGGAGGGGGCTTGCAAGGCGCCCGCGAGGATCCCCGAAGGCCTGCTGGGAGCAGAGGGGCGGGCAGGCCGAGGCGACGACTTGGGCCGCGCCGCCGAGGGGCAGCCCGTCCGTGTCCCTTTTCTGGCGGCATCTCTGCGCGAAGCAGGGGGCCTTGACGCCGAGCTGACGAAGGAGCTGAATGAAGACAGGGGTTGCACCAAGCCCGCTGCGCGATATGCCCCGGCAGAGGAGTTCGTCGAGGAACTCGCGCAGTGTCGCTTCGACCTCTAGGCGGCCCACTGGGCCGCCCCAGAGGCGGCCGGCTGCAGCGGCGCGGGAGACCACGTTGATTGGTACCCAGGGCGCTTCGCGGGCGAGGTGAAGGCGGGCAGGATGACCGAGATGTCCAATGAGCAGCTGCGCAACCGTTTCCGCGGCAACTACGCCATAGCGGCGCTGGCAGTCCTGGACAGCGCGCGCCGCAAGTATAGACTTGCCTACGATGGCGCGCACGATGTCGCCGTGAACCACCGGGTTTGACGCCTGAGCCGACGCGGCATGCGGGGGCCCGCAGAGATGAACTGTCTCTTGAGCTACTGCGGGGACCGACGCGAGGGCGAATTCTCGCTCGCGACCGACGTCGAGGGCGCGCATCGGCTCGCCAAGATCCGCCAGGGCAAGCGGGGCATGCTGGTCTTGCGGTTTCGAGGAAGAGTGGCGATGTAACGCCGCCGGCACCTTCTGCGCGCCCAGCGCTTCTGAGTGGCGGGCCAGACTTTGCGGATCCGCATGCGGGCGATCTTCTGCCGGTTGGGGGGCGACCACCCAATTGGCCAGCTCTGCTATGCCGACGACCTGGAGGCGAGCAGCGCGGAGAAACGAAGGCGGTTGTCAAGGCTCTTCATGGTTGTCTTATTCGGCGTCTTCGGTTTCCTGGCGCAGAGGGTCAAGGCGCGGGGCGGCCTCTGGGCTATATCGGCTTGCGCAGCGAATGCGCCAAGTGCGCCAAGGGGCTCGGGGGCGGCGGCGGCGCCTTGGGTGGCAGTTCGGTGCCGGGGGGCGGTCGGGCGCGGCGCCGTCCGCGCGGGCGAGCTGACGTCGGGCTTGGGGCGTATGGTCCTTGTCTGGGAGCGGCCGCCCCAGGGGCCAGCGCGCGCCTGGCTCGCGGGTGTCGCAAGGGCAGACGAGAAGGGGATCCTCCTACCGTGGGCGACCAGGCTCGCGCTGACTTGCATCGGCGAGCGACTGGCGCGCGGGCTGAGAGTGGGGGCGCCCGGCAAGTTCAGCGCCGAGAGCGCCGGGCACTGCCGCTGGGGCGCGAGGGCGGAGGGGGGGGCGCGGGGCGTGCGGGCGGCTGGGCGCGCGAGAGGCTAGCCGGCGCGGGCTGGCGGTAGAAGAAGGATGGCCCCTTTGGGCGTGGGCCAACGCACGCAACCCGAACGGGGTCATCGCGGCGCTCGGGCTCCTGGGCGCGATCCTCTGTAGGGAGCTGTTCGCGAAGCCCGAAAAGAGCCGCGATGGGGCGAAGCTCGCGGTGGCCGGTTTGACGGACAACCTGGGGGGCGGATGCTCGGCGGATTGGGCCGCGTCGACCAGGCGGCCGTTGATGGTCTTCCTCGTCGAGCTTTCGGAAGGGCCGAGGTCGCGCGGGGCGGCGCTGAGCCAGGACTGGCTACCGCGCCGGGAGAAACTGGAGGTGGGCGATCTCAGCAACGTGGAGAAGACGGACTTCGACGAGCCCCTCAGGATCCACGCGGCGGCCGCGGACCTGAAGTGGCACGTGCTCGACGAGATGACGCAGGCCCCCAGGGGGCTCCACAAGTCGATGGTTGGGGAGAGGCCGGCCGCCGCGGGGAGGGCGCCCGCGGCGGGGCGTGGCCGAAGGGGCCGCGGCGCGCGCGCTGGGCGCTGTGGCGACAGCATCGCCCAAGTCGTCTTGGACGACGTCGCGCGGGCGGAGCTGCAGGCGGCGACGGCGGCGCGCCGGGCCCCCTGGGGCCATTCGCAGCCACGGCACGCCTGCGAAATAGTATTGGGGCCCATCCTCCGAAGGGCGCCGCCGCAGGGTGCGCCCCCCCATCCCGCCTCTCGGCCGCCCCGGCTTTCCGCCGCGGTGGCAGGGGGCGGGGGGGCGCCTCCTGCCGCGGAGGGCCTTGTGGAGGGTGGGCAAGAGTACGAGGCCGCGCCAGTGCGCCCCGCGCGCGGCGCGGCGCGGCGTGGGGGGGTGGCGATGCCTAGGCGACCGGGCGAGAGGAGCAAGGTGCGGCTGGCGGGCCTCGACGCTGGCAGCGTCCGAGGGGTGGCTCCGGGTGCCGCGCCCCGCGCCTGCGGGCCTGCGCCATCGCAGAAGGGGGGCGTCGAATTCGCGGGAGTGGCCCGGGCCCCTGCGCAACGGGGCCCCCGTCGCCGCCGCCCGTGAAAAGAGACATTTTTTTTGGTCCCGCCATCGCATTGGGCGTAAGGCCATTCGAGGATGCGCCCCCAGGCGCCAACGCGAATGCGCGTCCTCGGCATCAAGTTCTTGACAGTGGCTCGGACCCCTGCGCTACAGGGCCCCCGTTTCCGCCGCTTGTACATGAGGCATCAACATCACCACCGTCTTTTACCGCCATCGCATTACTTGTAGGGCCATTCGGGTACACCAGTTTTTCATAATTTTCTAGAACGTTCCCATGCGTTGACGCAGTTGATGAAACGAACCTTCAATATGCCATCGGAGCTCCTAAACGAATCCGAGCGAGCCCCCGCAATACCCCAAGATGGCCGTGGACATCCCCGCGAAAGCGCCAAGAGGGCCGACGACGGCATGCAGCAGGGCCACAGACGTCCCCAAAGGGCCCTAAGACGGGCACAGGAGGCAGGCACCCCAAAAACCCAATCCCAACCCCAACAGGCCGCCGGAGTGCCCATGCAGGACCCCCAAAGGGCCAAACCAGTACGTGTAAAAATAGAGAAAACGGTTGCTCTCCCACTCTTTTGGGAGTTCGCATTTGTTGACAATGTAGGAAAGTCGTATGCGCATGTGTTATTTGTAGAGTGTCAGACAGGGAAAGGGCGTATGGGACACAGAGGCAGTGAAAGGGCGGGATAGGGAGGGAGAGGGAGAGGAAGAGGCGGTGAGGAATCGCGGGAAGAGCTGGAGGAGGAGGAGGAGGAGGAGGAGGAGGAGGAGGAGGAGGAGGAGGAGGAGGCGGAGGAGGAGGAGGAGGAGGAGGAGGGAGGAGGATGTGGAGGAGGAGGAGGAGGAGGAGGAGGAGGAGGAGGATGTGGAGGAGGAGGAGGAGGAGGAGGAGGAGGAGGAGGAGGAGGAGGAGGAGGAGGAGGAGGAGGAGGAGGGAGGTTTCCGAACTTGAGAGTATTGCTTTTCTTAGCGGTTGCTCCCAGGGTTGCCAGACGGCATCGATTGGTTTTCGCAGGGGATTGCGGTCCCCAGCACATATTGCGTCTCAGCGTTGCCTCGCCGAATGCTTTCAGGCAGATCCCACATACCCCCCAAACTACTTTCTGAGGTTTGCTTTTGTTTGTTTGGGGGGGGGGTGCGAAGCGCAATGTTTCTAGTCTTCGCGTCTTGTGCGCGTTTGGGGGCCATTCGTGGCAATTCCTCATTCCTCCCAGTCTCGGTTCGAAAAGTTGCCATGCCAAGGACAGGCTTGAAGGGTGACTTCCAGTGGAGTCTGGTGGCAAGGGGTGGCAAAGGTGACTGCGGTTGTTTTTCTCTTCCTCTCTCTCGCGCGTGAACACCCTGCATCCGCAGCCTCTGGCTCAAGATTTGCCACGAGGGGCATCCGCTCTGATCGGCAACGGCTTGGTGCCTGGCCGGCACCTCCCGCCGGCGGTCCTCGGCGGTCCTCGGCGGCCATGGCCCGCGTCCGCGCCCTGCTCGCACTCGCTCTGCCCTCGGCGCTCGGCAGCGGCAGCGGGACGCCGACGTTCTACTCCGGGTACCTGGTGGATTTCTACTGCTTCAGCCTCTGCAACATCGGCGGTGTCTCGGTGGACGGTAGCAACGTCATCACTGGGCCCGAAGAGCACACGCTGCACTGCCTGAGGGACGTGCCGCAGTGCCGCGACGGTTACTTCCTTGCAGAGCTGACGGCGGGCGGGGAGTACCGCATCAAGTTCACGCTGGACGAGCACTCCCAGGAAAACGCGCTGGGTTTTGTCGACTCGTTCCCCAGAGGCGGCATCCAGGACCACGAGCCGTTGACGGTCACGGCCCAGGGGTACCACAGCCAGGAGGACGGCGTCCTCAGAGGTGCGGTGTTCACCGCCTGCTCCAACATCACCGAATGCGACGGCTATTGCGCTGGAAGTTGCGACACTCCAGCGGAGCAGGACTTCTCACTCAAGCCGCGTTTGCTGCTCGTCGGTCACGTTGTCTGCATGTGCCTCTCATGGGGCTGTCTATTGCCGCTGGGGGTCATCTGGGCCCATTATTTGAGGCAGAACCAGTGGAAGCCGGGGGGCGTGCCCCTGTGGTTCCAGGGCCACCGTTGGCTGATGTCTGTAGGCGTGCTCCTCCAGCTCCTTGGCTTCGTCTTCATCATCCTCTGGAAGAAGGCGGCCCACTTCAGGCTGCCGCACGAGATCATAGGCCTGGTGGTCGTCGTCCTCGGCTGCCTGCAGCCCCTCAACGCCCAGATGCGCCACCTGAAGGCCGTGGGGCACCCTGATCACCCGGGGCCCTGGCGGCGGGCTTGGGAGCTGTGGCACAAGGGCAGCGGCTACGCCGCCGTGGCCCTGGGCCTCGCCAACGTCGTCCTCGGCCCGATCCACGCCGCCCGCATGCGCTTCGGCTCCGGCCTCCCGGCCGCGTCGGGAGCCTTTGTCGGCGTGTCCCTCGGCGCCCAGCTGCTCGGCGTGGCCGTGCTGCAGGCCCGCCGGACGCTCGGGGCCAGCCGCGGGCTCGGGCCCAAGAGGGCCGAGGGGGCGCCACCCGCCGCCAGTCCGCAGCGCCTGTAGGCCGCTTCGGCGGCCAGCGCAGGCCGGCGGTGCGCCCGCGCTCTGAGCCGCCGTGGGGGGCAGGTGTGCGGGAGGCCGTGCTCGTGTCTGCGCACGAGCAGGGGAGCGGGTGCGCGCGATCAGGTGGGCTTGCACCGTTTTTGCTGTGCAGTCCATCACAGGCGTGCGCTCGGTTTGCAAGCAGACGACTCGTGGACTAGGCGCTGCGGATTTTTTTTGGTCGTATCGTGCTCATCTTCCAAAGCGAGGTGGCGCCGCAGTGCAACGGCCTTTGCACAGTGCACAGCAGGTCAGTGAGCACAGGTGGCCTACGGTGAAGACATGCTGGTTGCGCAGCAGTCTAGGATCTTGCCCCCCTCCCAAATCAGACCTCCGACGCCGTGAGTTTTCACACCATGATCCCCGAGACCCCTCGACCATTTCCCCAGGACAGGTCTCCTCCGCGGGTTCAGTTCTGATTGTTCCAGGGCCTGAAAGCAGCACCCCTACTCAGACAGCGATCGCGAACAAACGAAAGCCGCTGTGATGCACACGGCTTCGCTGGGGGCATGGCCATACAGGCTTCCGTCCGCTTCTCTTCTCTTCTTCTTCTTCTTCTTCTTCCTCTTATTCTTTATTATTATTATTATTATTATTATTATCATTATTATTATTATTATTATTATTATTATTATTATTATTATTACTATTATTATGATTATTATTATCTTATCATTATCTTATCATTATTATTATTATTAGTATTATTATTAGTATTATTATTATTATTATTGTTGTTCTTATCATTATTATGATAATGATGCTGTTATTTTTACTATTCTTATTCGTATGATTCATATTCTTACTATGTGTCATATTATTTTTAATTGGTATCATTATTACTGTAATTCTGATTCCTCCTCACATCGCTCTCCCCGACACAATCTCCTCCTTTTTCTCTTCTGGCCGTGCGGGGCTCTTCGTGGGCCCTTCCTCGGCCGTGTTGGAGGCAGTGCGCTCCTGGGCCGTCTGGCGGTTTCTCGAGGCCAGTCTGGAACCGACTCGGGGGCCTCCAGGGCCGTCTGGGAGTCCTCCGGGGCTGCGATGCATCTCTCGGGGCTGTCTCGGGGCCGCCTGGGAGCCCCAACGGGCAGTTTTGCGGCCCTCGTGGGTCCACTTGAGCTGCTTTCGGGGCTATTCTCGGGCGTTTTGGGACCTTCTTATGTTGTGTTATCGTGGGCAGTTGTCCTCTTGGGGTCCTCCTGGGCGTTTCTGGGTGCCACATCCGCCGACCCTTTGGGGGCTTCGAGGTTGATCCCTTGGCGGCCTCGTGCTTATCATCATTCGCATCCTCTCTACCATCGCTTCTGCCCACGCCCCTGAATCTCCACCCAGACCTCTCCAGGGCCTCGCTCTGGCCAGGACACGCATTCGGAGCGGACCCGGCCGCCGACGGTCGCTCCTCCCCGTCGGCCTCGCCGGTCGTTGTTGCGGTCGCCGTCGGCCTCGCGCCGCCGCCCCTCCGCCGTCGCCGGCGTGCGCGTCGTCGCTCCCGCGTAAACCCCCCAGCCGGCCGAGCGCGGGGCGCCGCGGGGCGCGCGCGGAGGCCGATGTCTCCGAGGCGGAGACGGTGCCGATGGACGCCGAGACGCTGCCGCTGCGGGGAGGACCCGGGCGGGGCCGTCGGCGGGGGCAGAGAGGGGGGCGGATGGCCAGCGAGGAGGACCGGGCAGAGAGGGGGGCGGATGGCCAAAGGGGGCCGGCATCACACGCAGGGTCCCCAGGGAGCCTCGTCGAAGACATGGGCGATCGGAGGCCCTGGGTGCATGTAGTGCTGCCCCCCTGGGCCATCCGCCCCAGTCGCACCCGACATCACAGGGCGGGCGGGTCGGACGGAAGGGGGAGGGTTTGGCAAAGGGGTGCGAAACCTGCTCCATGCAGCTTCGGCCCCGCCGCCAGTCGATTTTCCTGATGCATGCGGCGCCTCCGGTGCCAGGCAAAACCAGAGCTGCGCGAGCTGTTTCGCCAGCACCTATTGCTATCCCCCCCGTCCTCTTCGTCCGGCCCGAGACAAGCAGGGCAGCAAGACAGGACAGCGGCCCGCAGAGAGGCCGTTTTGCCTTCGTGGCCTAGAACGTGGGCTGGTCCGAGTCGAGGGACGTCGGCTGTCCACCTCGCTGGTCCTGGCCAGGCCGATCCTGGGCCCAGGATGGGCGTAACTAGTTGCCTCCCTGGCCAAGCCAGCAGGGTCCATACACCGATTCTGGTCCAGGGACCGGTTTCGAGTGGGTCGAGGAGGAAGACTGAAATGTTTAGTCGATTCGCGAAACCCTGAGCCCTGATGCGTACGGAACAGATGCTACACTTGATCAAACCTCTTGTCTGAATCACATGCTGCTACTCTCCAAGGTCTGCTTATAATCTCAGTCTCATTATACTTTCTAAGGTGCTGTTGCAAATCAGACAACATTGGAAAACCATTCTCGAAACAAGTTAGCAGTGACACCTGCATCACCAGCTCGAGAGAGGAGGAGAGGTTTGGATAGGAGAGAGGCCGAACGGCGGCAGCAGGCCTCACATCCGTGAAGCTCGCGCAAATCATGCCGTAGGTCGTCTGATCGAGGAAGCTTCTCTGCATGTCGTCGATGTCGCTTTGGATGTAGTTGCACTTGGAGATGCTCTCGAGGTCTGACTCCTGATAGTTGTCTGGCCTGTGAAGTATTCGTCTCGCAGTTGCTGTCTTCGCCACCAAACTCATATCAATATATCCCGTCGTCAGTAGCTTCATCATTTGCTTGAACGTCTCTGGCTTTGTGTCATCGCATCCGCCACCATAGCTACTGTCGGCACATGGACTGTCCACCTGGTGCGAGTCGTGATCCGTTCTTCGCGTAGAGCCATGACTGACAGTCTTTGCTGCGTGTCCTGAGGATTTCCTTTCAGACCGGTCACAAGCTCGAACACTTTCTTGCAGTTAGTAAGGTGATCGATGGCCAATTCATAGGCTCCAGTCTCATTGATACTCATCATGGCACGCACACGATCCTGCTGAGAAATGTTCTGGTCCGTCTGCATTTCGGTGATCCTGAGGGCAATCAATCTGTGCATTACTCACCACGCCTAAGGCACAATTCGTCTCGCACATGCTTTTCGAGTGAGCCACCTTAGATAGGATAGCCATCGGATGGCACAGTCTACTCGGGCAGCTCTTGTCGTTTATGATGTCCGATTCCGTCTCGAAACTCATAGGTCTGTCTTGTATCATCATATTCACTTGTCCTTCTTGGGGATACACACTCGTCTTGGTCGTATGATTTGCGTCGCCAATTGCTCTCAAACAGGAAGGCCCATGAAGTTGAGGAACATGTAGTCCGACAAGCTGGTTGTCGCTTTGCGGCTTCGTCAGAGCTGCAGTCGCTCGTTTGAGATGCATCACCTTTGGCTCGTTGTTGGAACCCTGCAGCTGTGTGACCTATGTCAAGATGTGTACATTGCACTGGCAGAGACACAACATGCTTGTCAGAATGTTCCTAAAGCAATGCGCGTGCAGCGCTGAAACCAGTTGATCATCGTCCAAATTCGGAACCTCGCATGGCTTGATGTTCGTGAGATGCTTTAACTGTTGTGCTATGCTGTGAGCTCCGTTGTGCGAGAAAGGTAGCTTCTGTCGCTCGACTGCACCAAACTTTCCCTCAAGTACGCTTCGCAAGAGCTTCAGAAATTGTTCCCGTGACTGTGAGAGAAGATCGTCCACATGAATGGAGAGACATGCCGCAAGCTTGTCCGTCATCGCTGTTAGGAGACTCTCTGAGACACCGCACTTTCGTGCCGTGTGTGGATGCCTCCGTCACAGTACGTCTAGATCTTTCACCGTCCAGTGCACGAAGTTGTCGTCCCACAAGCTGATCCGAGCCTCCAGCTGAGAGACAAGATTGAGCGTCAATGCGATCTGCCAAAGATGAGGATCGTCCACCAACCCATGCCCAGGCTTGAGAAACTCCTGGAGGAAAAGGTCGTCGTCTATTGGCTGCACGATCACTGGGCTGTTCTTCATGCTGGCCAGGTGACGCCATACATTCGCCGGAGGATGGAGGTAGACCTTTCTGACCGTGGTGCACGACAATTTTAGCTCACGTCATCGCTTCCTCAACTCTTCGAACGATAAGCCTTGTGTGAAAGCTGTGGACATATCCAAATTTGTCAGATCTGCGAGGGCGTGACACTGAGCCATACTCACCACCAACTTTTGGCTGATTCTTGATGCTGTGCTGGAATGTCTTTGTATCTGATGCTTCTGGGAGTCCAAAAACCCACGGCCACATAGTTGATTCTTTACCTTCCACAGCTTTGTCTTCTGATTCAATTTCCAGCGTCGTACCCAGACTGCGTCGATCACGTTGTTCGAGTCCAGGCTCTTCACAGCAGAGCAGGCAAACACTGAATGGTCCACCAATGCCGTCAGTTCTGCCCGATCCGCTGCTTCGACCAAGTCCCAGTTCTCGTAGATCACCTGCTCGGTCAAGTTCCCGTCCGTCTGGGCCGCATAGGGCACCGCCTCGCCGGTCTGCAGGTCGAAATGGAAGCACTCGTTGCACCGCCAAGGTCCCGAGATAATCCAGGCCGACTGAGACCTGCAACAGGGAAGCTCGGTGCCTTGCGCAATCTTGTCGGCGAAGTAATCTGCCTGGCGCTGCTGCTCGATCACCATCGTCATGGAGTCCATGAGGTATGATTCACGAATGTCGTTTAGATACTCTTCATCGTCCGCCAGAAGACTCCATCGAGATATTGCGCCTAGCAGAGAGATCTTGGTCTTGAATGGGAGGAGGGTTGCTTTCAGGCACGTCCACATGCGCTGGTTGCTCAATAGGTATTGGAACACCTGCTGGAAGATCATCTGTAGCCGATTCCGATCTTCTGAACTGAGGCCTTGGCGGTTGCTATCATCATCAAGTGGCAGAGATGTGCCAGCATAGGGTCGGAAGGCTGGCTTTTCCATGGACGCCGAAGCTTCAGGGACAACGTCATCGTGAGATTGCTTGGGTGCCAGACGTGCTTCGGTGGAGACGGGTCGTGTTGAACAGCCTCAGGCCTGGGAACGTCAGGCAGGAGCTCGCTCAGAGCCCTTGAGAGATCCACCTCAGGAGCTGGAGGAGCTTCGGGAAGCTCTGGTTGCTGTTCTGGCTGAGGAGCAGGAACTTCAGGTAGCTGCTCGCTGAGTGCCCTTGATCGGTCCATTCTCGCTTGCTGTGCTGGCCGAGGAACTTGAATTTCTGGTGGGATATCGCTGAGTGCCTTGCACAGGTCCATCTCTGCTTGCTGTGCTTGCAGAGGAACTCGTACTTCTGGTAATGTATCGCTCATCTCCTTCGACAGGTCTAGAGTCGTCGCCTGTTCATGCTGAGGCAGAGAAACGCCAGAGTTCACCTCGGTCATGCCATTCGGCAGGTTAAGCTCGTGTGCCCGCACTCGTCGCGACGGCTGAGCGACCTCATGAGGTCCGGCCGATGCTGATGAAGACGCGTCTGAATAGGAATTGCTGTTGCTGGGGCGCAAAGACGCGTTTCGATAGGGGCCGCTGCTTCCAGGTGCCGAGGAAGCGTCTCGATAGGAACCGCTGTTTCCAGGTGCCGGTCGTGCCTCTGGCTGTGGAGGTAGAGGCCGAGATGTAGTCGCTCTTGACGGGCATGCCAGTGCCGGCGTCGGAGAAGCCTTGTGCAGTCGAACCTGCATCGGAGGACCCGCTATAGATAGTGGCGCCAGTTCTCGCGATGATGAAGGTGCTGCTGCTGACTCTCGCGTCGCTGGTGTCTGCTCAGGCTGCCAGTGTTGACTCAGTTCCCGTGTCTTGAAACTCGAGTTTGTTGAAGATGTCCTTCGTGGAGGTGTTCGGAACGACGTCTCTGGCAGAGGTCTGTCCATCTCCAAGGATCTGCTGGCTGATGAGGTCTTCGCTGGCGTTGCTGCTGATTGAGCCGTATCAAAGTCTTTGACCTGGAGAAGGTGTCTGACAGAGAGCGTTTGCCAGGGCCTGTCATGGCACTGACGTCGGGAGAGTAGGACAGGATGGAGTCTTCCCAGTCGCCGTCTCCAGGAAGAAGGCTGACCATGTCGCGAATGTCTTGCTCGATGTTCCGGCATGGCCATACCTCTATGTTGCTCAAGTCGTTCATGTCAGGAATATCATAGTCGTCGAGGTAGGAATCAATTGGCAGGTCCGTGCGATACATGAGGAACAACGAAGTGTTGTCCCAGTCTCTCTTGGAGAAGTCGCCGATGTTGATGCCCTTGTCTGGTCGAACCTCCTGCGTAAGGTAGTGCGCGTGATCGGAGCGCGACTTGGCGACCAGCAAGCCGTGGTAGATCCGATCGAGAGCTGGTATCCGCCTGACTGAGGTGCCGTATTCGAGATCGTCCACGCTCTTGAGACGAAACTCTCGCTGGTAGATCTTCAGGCGCAACGTCCAGTGCACACGAAGTCGTAGTTGCGCGACCAGCGGTGTGCAGCTC